ATTACCATATGTAAAATAGATAGTGGGAATTTGCTCAAACCACTGCTCTGTGACAACCTAGAGGGGTGGGGGGAGGCGAGAAGGAAGCTCAAGAGGGAGGGACGTACGTATACCTATGGCTGGTTCATGGTGACGTGTGGCAGAGACCAACACAATATTGTAAAGCAATTATCCTCCAATTAAAATACATAATTTTTTTAATGTAGTGGAGAAGGACAGTATATATGTGATTTTGGTGAAGGAAGTGTACATACAATCAAGCACACAAGCACATGTTTTTTCAGAAGCTTCCTTTTTTTTTTCACATGGAACTTTTTTTTTTTCCATTTATTTTTATTAGTTGGAAGATAATTACTTTACAATATTGTAGTGGATTTTGCCATACATTGACATGAATCAGCCATGGATTTACATGTGTTCCCCATCCTGAACCCCCCTCCCACCTCCCTCCCCATCCCATCCCTCTGGGTCATCCCAGTGCACCAGCCCCGAGCGCTTATCTCATGCATCCAACCTGGACTGGCGGTCTGTTTCACACTTGATAATATACATGTTTCGATGCTGTTCTCTCAGATCATCCCACCCTCGCCTTCTCCCATAGAGTCCAAAAGTCTGTTCTATACATCTGTGTCTCTTTTTCTGTCTTGCATATAGGGTTATCGTTACCATCTATGAGAAACAGCCATCCCATGAAGGATTGCAGTGCTTTTCTAGATATGAGGAGACCAAGAATTGGGTTCATAAAATCAGCTCCTAAAAATATCTAACTATCTGAAGACCTGTCCTGCCAGTTTTATTCCCTCAGATCACAGAGTGCCTCATCTCTGTTCTCCACCTGGAAGGCCTCTCAAGGGCTGTTGAAGGTCAGCAGCTGCAGCAGCACATGATTTAATCCTAGTAGAGGTAGATGTGCTTCGTTGCTCAGTCGTGTTTGACTCTTTGCGACCCCATGGACTGTAGCCCACCAGGCAAGTGCCCATGGTGAGTGCCAATTTGTAGTTGACAGTATGTAGCAAAAGCAGTGCTCGGAGAGAAATTCATATCTGTGAATGCCTAAATTAAAAAAAAAAAAAAAAGAAAAATCTCAAATCAATAAGCTAGTCTTCCGTGTTAAGAAACTAGAAAAAAAAGGAGCCAACTAAACCAAAGTAAGCAGACAGAACAAAATAATACAAATTAAAATGATGAGAAATGAAATAGAGAATAGTAAAACAATAGAAAGAATAAATTACACCAAAAATTGATTTGTTGAAAAGATTGACAAAATTGACAAACCTTTACCAAGAATGATCAAGAAAAAGAGACTCAAATGACTAAAATCATAGTTAAAAGTTGAGAACATTTCTACCAACATTACATAATTGAAAGAGAATTCTATAAACTGTGTATCAACAAATGAGATAACCTAGCCAAACTGGAAGAATTCATAGAAATACACACACTACCAAAATTGACTGAAAGAGAAATAGATAATCTGAGTAAACCTATAACAATTAAAGGGAATTAGTAGGTAATCAAAAACTCGCAACTAAGAGAAGCCCAGAATCTGTTAGCTTGACTCTCAAATTCTCTAAAATGATTAAAGAAGAATTACCATCAGTTCTCAAATCTCCCCATAAAAGAGTGGAGGAAGGAATACTTCTTAAATCATTCTGTGGGGCCAGTATTACCCTGATACCAAACCCAGACAAAGTCATCACAAGAAAAGACAACCTTAGACCGATATCCCGTATGAATATAAGCACAAAAATTATCAAAAAATACTAACCCAAATGAAACTTGTGCATATATTCAACTTAAAATGTGACAGTGTCCTTCTGTTTAGTGTCTGACTGCCTTCTCTTTGTCCAGATTTCTCTAATGCTGTCCTGACCCATGAAGAGAACTACAATCCATCCATCCTGGTTTCTACATATGAACAGATGCCCGTCAAAATTCTTACTCCAGCCAGTTACACTTCCTCGTCAAAAATGAGGACTTCTCCTCCCATAAATGGGCTTTCATGGTGGCTCAGATGGTAAAGCGTCTGTCTCCAGTGCGGGAGACCTGGGTTCGATCCCTGGGTCAGGACGATCTCCTGGAGAAGGAAATGGCGACCCACTCCAGTACTCTTGCCTGGAGAATTCCATGGATGGAGGAGCCTGGTGTGCTATAGTCCGAGGTGTCACAAAGAGTCAGACACGACTGAGCAACTTCACTCACTCTCCCATAAATAGTCTATGTGAGCTGTCAAACCGGAACTTGAAACAGTATAATTAAGTTACTATTAAATTGCTTCAGCTCCTCAGCTGAAGCCACATAAGAGACAAGGTGCTGGATTTAGATGAGGAGGTAGGAAGGCAAAGCTTGAAGGGAGGAAATGAGCTTTGCTGTGGGCATTCCGTATTAACATAAGGGAGAGATGCTTCAGAGTGAGTCACCTTCTCTGGGAAGACCTGTCATGTAACTGGACTCTTGGCTTGTGGCCCTTGGGACACCGTGACAGGCAGTGAGCCTTGACTTTGCCAGGCAGGTGCTAAGAGCGCACGCACCTCGCCACGCCGGCATTTTGAACTCTCTGAGACTGGGGAGTGAGTTGGAAGCCCGCACCAGGTGGCGCTAGTGGTAAGGAAGTTGCTGGCTAGGGCCGGAGACGAGAGATGCGGGTTTGATCCCTGGGTGGGAAAGAACCCCTGGAGTAGGAAATGGCAAACCACTCCAGTATCTTTGCCTAGAAAATCTCATGGACAGAGGAGCCTGGCAGGCTACAGTCCATGGGGCCGCAGAGAGTCGGACATGACTGAGCAACTGACCATACCACACGCTGAGCCACAGAACCGATGTTCCTGCAGTAGGACAGTGAAGGCGGAAATCCAATTACTGAGCTAATTAGCACCTTTGAGTGGTAAGCACCAAATTTACAGGAGGAAAGCACTGGAGAAAACCTTGAATACCCAGTAAGACTGACACTTGCCCTTCTTAGAGAGTCTGGTGGTGAGCCAGAGGCCCTGGGGGCACACAGGCAGCGAGGATTAGTTACTGCTGATCAGAATTTAGCCTCTGCAGCCAAAGCCTTTTGCAGATAGCTTTTCATTTAACATAGTTTTAGAAGGTATTTTAATTCCCTAAGGAGTTTGGTAAATGACTTTCTTTTGGCTCAATCCCGTTTTAAAAATTGTTTATTCTGCTGCTGAAAATTCCATTTGTCCTAGGTCTTAAGGTGAAATTAAAATTCCATTCAGGGACTCACTATGCCAACATGGGATTACGGCCTTCATTAGAAAAGAATTTTGTTGTTCGCTTTATTTTCTGCCACCCGGGCTCTTTTATTTTCAAAGCCTATCTGAGGGTATTTGCAAGGAAAAGGAAGCAGTAATAGAACAATGTGACCTTTTCGAGCTGTAACAGAATATCCCTTCTCTACAGCCCATCTGGAGCATCTAGTCTACAAAACTCCAACAGGATCCTGCCTAGATAGTTCTCATATATCTGAAACATGGTATATCTAGGTATGGTAAAGATAAGATGCTCATTATGTTCAAACTGTATGGAACCCTTCATTCAGTGGTCTATTTCTAGTGAAAGCCCGTTCTTTATGGCACAGGTTTAGCCTTATGAGATTTTTGTAGGAAGAGGGATGCTTTCCAGGGCCCAAGAGCAGGCTCTTGTCTAACACTCAGAAATGAATTGTCTAAGGAGACACACGGGCTGACAAAGCAAGAGACTTCACTGGGAAGAGACGCCAGGTGGAGAGCAGCAGAGTAAGGGGACCCAGGAGGACTGCTCTGCCAAGAGGCTCACATCTCAGGTTTTATGGTCATGGAGTTAGTTTCCAGGTTTTCTCTGGCCCGTCATTCTGACTCAGGGCCCTTCCTGGTGGCGTGCACATCACTCAGCCAAGATGGATGCTAGCAAGGAGGATTCTGGGAGGTTGGTAGGACATTTTGACCTACCTGAGTTCTTCTGGTTGGTGATGTTAGTTCCGCATTCCTTACTAGGATCTCCTATTATAAAATAGCTCACGCAAGTAGTTACTATTGTGTTTGGCCAGGATGGGGCAGTTTCAGTCAGTGGTTCCCCTAACAAAATTTCCATTTTTATAGACCATAAACTGGTGAATATCATTAGCTTCATGTGGTTGGTGTCAGTTTCACATCTCATCCATCAAAGAATGACAAGACCCTCACTCAATGTCTGAAATAAGTCAAGGCTGGTCCAACATCGTCTCTCCAAGCAGAACAGACTGTTGCACTTACAAAGGGTTTGGGGGACATCTGAAGTTCAAGGCAGATGAGTTTCAGATTCAGAAGTGGGGTGATACCATCTGCAGGGCAGTCTCTTGGGGAAACTGTTACTGATTGGTCACTCTCAGAAGTCTGCACGGAGCCTGTCCCTTGCTGGCTGACTTTCAGAAGCAAGCAGCCACTGTGAACTGGCTGCCTTAACAAAGCTCTAGGTTGACGTGAGTTGTCATAACTGAAAAGGTTTAAAACTGGTTCTGGTGGCAACTGGTTACCATGGTTACAGACAATCCACCTTTTCCTAAGCTGCAGAAAGCTGTTTTTCATTCTTATGGTTCAACCTAAGAAAAGTCTGTAAGAATGCATCCAACTCTTGAAAGCAAGTGGTGGAGACCTGGACTACTTATCAAGAATGTTCTGGAATCAATTTGAATAGCAAGATAGCTATGTATGTGCTGCTCTCAAGTACTGTCAGTGAGTGGTAGTCCATTGACAATTTCAATGCTTGCTTTTATTTTGTGGATTGGATGCTCAGAATTGATAAAGATGAAGGTCTGTCTCCTGTACCTAAGTGCTAAACATCTCTTCCTTCTGTATTTTCTGTACTTTTCCCACCTTTCTGACCCCTCTCTTCCTTCAGCCTTGTCAATGTAGAACAATAACTCTAATATGTGATCTCCATCTCCCCTGGATTTCCCACCCACACAGCTGATTCTGTGAGCCAACTCTCATTTGCAGGGATCTAATCACAACCTCTTACTCTTCTGTGGCTCTTTCTAGTACAAGGCGTGTGGATAATTCCAACACAAGACTGGTGGTCCAAATTGAAAAGGATCCAGGTAAGAGGATATCTTCCTTCTCCTTCTCTCTTTTTTTATTGTTTTATTTTATTTATTTATTTTTTTTTGGCCTTGCAGCATGTGGGATCTGAGTTCCCCAAGCAAGGATTGAACCCATGCCCCTGTGTTGGAAGCATGTAGTCTTAACCACTGGAGCCTCCCTGCCCAGAAAGGTCCCCTGCCTCTCTTTTAAGCTATTTATTTTGTTGTGTAGATGGATTCCTTTAATCCAAAAAAGAGGAATTAAGTACTCACTTCTTTTAATCATTGTGGAGACAGTGAATGTCTTGGTAAATGTACTGATGGTAAAAATAAAACTGTGCAAATAGAACTGATCAAGTATCCTGATTTGGTTTAGAAATGGATTCTTCCATGATTTAGAACTGATTAGATATCTTTTCAATATTGAATAACTGTTGATTACAACATTTTAGTTAGTATATGCTAAACATCAAATACAGACAGTAAACCTTGGTATTGGTATTCTGGCAAAAAAAAAAAAAAAAAATTAGCATTATGATGTCCTTAAAAGGCAAGCCATTCCAGGATCCAGGGTCTGGATATCTTCAGAGTCTTTGTACAACATTAATCCATGGAAAGATTTATCTGCCATAGTAACAGGAAGTTACTTTTTTCTTCCTATAGTCTATTTCATTTTGAAGCATTTGACCTTTTTTTCCCTCATATCAGTATGCAAATTTAAGCCAATCTCTATTTTTAATCCACCTCACTCTCTCCTCTGTGCCAAAAATGTTGTCTAGGAAGAATTGTATCCTGCTTATTAGCTATATTTGAATTGCATATACATGATTAATTTGAAATCATAATTTGAAACTTGAAAATATCTGGAGAGGCAGGTTTATTGTTTGCTAAACTTTGTATCAGCCCAGTTTGAAGAGAGTGTGGTTGGAGTGTAAATATCTCTAATGTGGAGCCATGGGATTCTAATTTTGCCTGGCCATTGACATTAGGCATATAGACAGTTTCATAAGTACATTGTGCTTTTAGTTGTTCATAATTTTGTCTCATTTTAATCTAATTATACAGATGTGTGGTCAGTGTGTTCTAAGATCTCAACTTTTCATGGTTTAAATTGTTTTATTCATTCATCAAGCAGTTTGAACAGTTAAGCAAAAGTTAATTCTCTTGTTAAGGTTTTTTCTTTAAAAGTACCAGAGACTCGGAGTAATCTCCAATTAGTGTCTCTGGATGCATGCTGCTTCATCAGAGAAAATGAATATCACTGCAGGTCAGGCAGGCTTAATCTGCATAGAAAATTAAGCATAATGATACCTTATTAGAGGACATGACAGGACTCAGTCCATAAAACAGTTTGTTTCTTTCCATTAAACATAAATAGGTTATAAATGCACCTATTTCAATTTGGCTTTTAACTGTCGTGAATGCCTAGCCCTGATATCCATAGTTTGATAGTGTTATCCTGTAGATTTCTTAGCCGTGGGTCAGTGCTCTTCCTTACATGGGTGCATTTGGGGCCAGTCTGCACCTTCCTGCACCCTCAGTGATGCTCCAGTTCCCAAGAGTACCGAGCAGGAAGGCTCCATTCAGATCTTCACAGATCTTTATCTCCAACCTTCTTGAATCTCTGTCTCCACGCCAGAAGCTGGCCTAGAAGGGGTCCTTGAGCTTTGCTTTAGGCCTCTTCTCTTTGGGGCAACTCTATGCTTCTCTGACTTTCTGGAGGCAGAGTTTACTCCCCAGAGGAAAGATGCTCCTAAAGTAAAAGCACTGGTGACAAACTTTCCTTCTAGCCCCTCCCAGTACTTCTTCCACTCCCAGGACCACAGACCAGGAGGACTTCCCAGTTTACCCAGTCTTCTCAAAAAAGATTCTGTCTTCATCATGAGAGATCTGACAGAGGGAGTAAAAGGAGTTGGCCCAGCCAGGACATGAAAGGAAACGCATCGTGAACCCCCAGTTTCACGCCCCTGAAACACACTGGCCCTTTATTGGGAAGCAGGGTGTTCCCTCACCCCATCTCCTTTGCTGTATCCTTCCTTTTTTCTTCCCTTGATGTCCTCATCCACTCCATCTGAATGGCTAAGTTCAAACAAGCAAGCAGCAGTCCTGGCAAGGATGCAGAACAACTAGAATTCTCAGTCCCTGCGACTAGGGTGCAGAATGGTCCAGCCACTTTGGAGAACGGTAGTGCCACTCTTAGGGGCTGACTCAAGAGAAATGAAAACATGTTCTTATAGACTTCTGTTCATGAATTTCGTGAGTGGATTTACTCATGTTCACCAATACTGAAAACAACCCAAAGGTCCTTCAGCTACTGAATGTTTAAGCAAACTGTAGTAACCACATACAAATGAGACAGAACAAACTACTGCTGCATACCTCAGTATGGATGGAGCACAAACGCAGCGTTCTAAGTGGAGGTTATGTGACTATAAGCATTTTTTACGATTCACAGAACTGGACATTAAAAAGGGCAAATTTAGCTCTCTGTAAATTATGCCTCAATAAATCTGAGTTTTATATACATATATAACTTAAAGTTAGTAAATGGCATTGATATATAATAATTTATATACTTGTATATAATATATAAAAATGTATACTAGTAATAATTATTTATATTGTAGACTATAGTTACATATGTATATATGCATATATATGCACTGTTTACACAGTATATACTATCAATAATTATAGAATATATATATGTGTATATATATATAAAACTTCCCTATAGTTCAGATGGTAAAGAATCTGCCTGCAATGCAGGATACCTGGGTTCAATCCCTGGGTCAGGAAGATCCCCTAGAGAAGGAAATGACAACCCACTCCAGTATTCTTGCCTGGAGAATTCCATGGGCAGAGGAGCCTGGTGAGCTACAGTCCGTGGGGTCACAAAGAGTCAGACACAATTAAGTGACTAACACTATACACACACACACACATACAATTTATTGTCTGTAAATTATTTCTCAGTGAAACCCTAGAGTTACTTAATGGATTATGTTCTCAAAAGCAAAATTTCTCTTAACAAAGCTGTATCATCTATGGTGTCATCTATTATTCAACAGATGTTTAGTCAGTCATTACTGCATATTAAGAGTCTGCCAGTACTGAGATACAAAAAAAAACCAAATTCAGTCTTCCCTCACCACCACAGGGTGCATTGGAGAAATCAGAGGTTAATCAAATAACCATATATACACATATACACACACACAAAAAAAGTCAAATTCCAACTGTTTCAAGTGCTTTCAAGCAGAGAGGGTCATGGTCCTGATGTCCTATAACATGGCATGGCAAAAGGGTCAAGGAAGCCTTCCCTGAAGTGGCCATGGAACAGAGGTCTAAAGATTAGTAGAGGTAGTAAGACAGAGAAGAATGAAGGGAAACCAGGCAGAAAGATTAGTCTCTTCAAAGGCCCGGGGTGGGAAGGGGCAAGTGAGTCACTCAACTGGGAGCAGTTCTGTATTGCTAAGAGTGAAGATTGAGGAAGAGATGAGTGAGAGGTGAGGGTGGAGACTGAAGTGGGGAGCAGAGCACACAGCGCCCCTGGTGTGACTATACACCCTGGGTTTGATCAGGCTGGTGTCCTCGCTTATTCCTAGGAGGATGACTTATGGGACCCTATTATAGGTGATGTTATGAAGTTGTGTCTCTATCTTAAGAGCCCTCACAAACCACTTTAAGAAATGGGCTGCAGGGCCCTGGGTGACACATTCCCCTTTCATCTGAAAGGCTCATCCTGGCTGGGGGGTAGAGAATCGATGAGGAAGCGTGTCCTAGTGAAGACGCATAGGTGAGTCACATGACCATTGTGGTCCTCCACCTGAAAAACCGTGTAACTTGGGATAAAGCAAGGGTACTGGGAATGGGAAAAAGTAGGAACGTGCAAAAAATACTTGAAGAATGTGAAATTGAGAGCCTTAGGTGGGACGAAGTGGAAAGAGATGCCTAGGTTGTGGCCAACTGGACAGCTGAGAGCAGGTTGGGGGCGGGACTGGGGCGGGCAGGGCCTGACTTGAACACACTGGGTGGAGCAGAAACATTGGAAACATACACGAAATGTTAAGGAGACAGGAAGTAGACAGGTCTAGAGTCCAGGCAAGAGATCTCTGCTGGAGATAGGAATTTGTCAGGTGTCTCGTTTAGACAGGAATTCAGTCCATTTATGCAGACGACATTGACCAGAAAGAGCAGAGAGGGATGAAATAGGAGGGTCTCCCAGAGCCCCCCACAACGGGCAAAGTGTCTGAGGAGTCTGATTCACCCCTAATCAGATGACGGCTCCCCATCTCCCAGGGAGAGCGCGTTGGAGCAGGACTCACTGGGCGTCTTCTTTCTTGTCCTGTCTTCAGGGAGCGATGGCAACAACCTCAATTCCATCTTTTACGAGCACTTGACAAGGGCGCTCCAGGAGTCCCTCTGTGGAGACCTCATCCTTGGCCGGTGGGGCAACTACAGCTCTGGCGATTGCTTTATTCTGGCTTCAGATTACCTCAACGCTTTCGTTCACCTGGTTGAAATTGGCAATGGCCTCGTCACCTTTCAACTTAGAGGACTGGAATTCCGAGGTAAGAATCTCTTTACTGTGGAGGTTGTTGGGAATTGGTCATTTGAGTGAAGTATCATGCAGAGCTTTCATAAGAAGTCACCCTTAAAAAGGAAGAGTGGGATGCCTGTCCTAGAGAATGAGTTAGGGAGCTTGCTATAACCACATTTCATCATGTATTTGGATACAAAGAAAGTCCAGTCACCCGAATTAGTAATCAGGTTAAATGTACAGTCTGGAGTAAACCTTAGGAGTAGCAAGTCAGAACTTTGGTTTATTTGGGGAAAAACTCAGAATGGGTGTGGGGGCTCCGTGTGGAGTCAGCCAGACCTAAAATGGAACCTGCTTCCTTGGGTTACAAATGCAATGGTCTGTTGTGGGTGAGTCTCTGAGTTTTGTTAAAAATTGGCTGTAAGGTGATAATAAGAATGACTGCCTCATGCAGTTGTTGTGTGATCTAACTGAGATCATGTCTATGCAGGCACTGTTGTTGTTGTTTAGTTGCTAAGCTGTGTCTGACTCCTTTGTGACCCTATGGACTGTAGCCCGCCAGGCTTTTCTGTCCATGGAATATCCCAGGCAAGAATACTGGAGTGGGTTGACATTTCGATCTCCAGGGGATCTTCCCGATCCAGGGAGCAAACCCATGTCTCCTTCATTGGCAGGTGGATTCTTTACTATGAGCCCCCTGGGAAGCCCACTTGCAGGCACTACATGAATGCTTACTGCTCTGTGGTCACTGAGTCCGCCTGTACCTTTGAAGAGTGCTTCTGGCTTTTCCATGAATCAGACGCTGCAGGTGTGTGGTGGTCACACAGGGATCCGCGTCACGGACATCCCCGTGGCCCCGTCTCCCAGGTTCTTTGTGTGGCTTCATTCACACATGCTTTTCTCTACCACAGCAGCCCCTCTGTGTCAGGCCGCATGCTGATGCTGAGGATGCAATGGCATGTGACCTTGAGTCTTACCTTCATGACATGGCAAATAAATAAGTAAACAAAAGAGCAAACCAATCACAACTTGAGGAATGGTAGAAAGGAGGTAAATAAGGTTCTATGACTAGAATCGGTGCAGAAGGTGAGGAGGCTCTTCAGGGAAGGGTCCTGAGGAAGAGAACAGGACGAAGAATGTTCTAGGCCAGGAATTGGGAAGCGCTGAATGTCTGAGTTAGAGTAACCCAGGAGGAATGCCGTGACCAGAGAGGCGGGGTTGGGGGAGGTCATGGGGTTTCTCCCAGCCAGGGCGAGGTGCTGTTGTATTCTGTGCACAGTGAGGAGCCATGGAACGTTCTGGAAATGGGAATGACTGAAAAGCTTGTTCTGGTTGCTGTGTGGAAGATATACTGGAGGGGATGAAAGGAGAAAAGCGGGGACCACCTAGGAGTGTCCTGTAGTCACCCCAGCAAGAGAAGATGGCAGAGGCAGAGATGTGCTGGGGGGCTCAGAAGTGGAGGACAGGCCTGCATGTTGGGGTGAGGGAAGGTGGGGTACTCAGTATGCTCCCTGCTTTCTAGATTGAGAGCCCAATGGACATTGGTGCATTTACTGAAACTGAGAAGCCTAGATAAGGAGTGGCACTCGGGGTTTGAGGATGCAATCAAGAGCCCCATTTTGAATATTCACTTGGATTCATCCAAGTGAATATATCACATAGCTAGTTGGACATACGTGTCTAATATTCATTTTTGTTGTTGTTTAGTCACTAAGTTGTGTCTGACTCTTTTGTGACCCAATAGACTGTAGCTTGCCAGCCTCCTCTGTCCATGGAATTTTCCAGGCAACAGTACTGGAGTCTGTTACTATTTCCTTCTCCTGGGGATCATCCCAACCCAGAGACTGAACCCAAGTCTCCTGCACTGCAGGCAGATTCTTCAGTGCTGAGCCACCTGGAAAGCGCTTAAAGCTCATTTGGGAGATATTTATTGAGCACCGATTATATGTCAAGCACTAAGTTAGGTGCTCTGAGTAGAGAAGTAAAGGTCCTGCCTTATGGAGCTTGAAGCCTCCCTTAGAAGACAGGCACCTGATAAGTAATTACTGCCCAGACAGGTGGCTGTTACAGCAGCATGGTGCGTGGGGGCCTGGGGGCCAGAGAAAGGGCACTGGAATCAGAACTGGGGTCTGGTCAGCTCAGCAGAGGAGGGGCTACAGTTAGAACGGAGAGGAGGGAACAACTGGTGTGATTACAAGGAGGCTTCAAGTAACCAGATGTGGTTTCCAGGTGGTTTGGGAAGAAGGGGTCACAGACAATGCTAGAAAGGTAAACAATAGCCAGGTCATGCCTTCTAGAACCTCACAGTGATCAAAGGACACATTTCCACCAAGAACAAATTGCTGTCACTTCATATTTTAAAAACATAACCCAAAGAGAATTCTTGTACATCCTTACAAATTCTAGGAATCTAATTTAGGCAGCTTATTTGGGAAAAGGTTATTGGGCCAAGGGAGTGATGATCAGACTCTAAAGAACAGAGAAGCAATATTTCCCTGATATTTTTCACAAATGCCAGAAAATGCCACAGAAGGTGGTAGAAATTAAGTGTCTGGGTACAATAATGCAATAGAGCTGCCTATTTTTGAGAGCTTTCCATTTTTTCCGGGAATTCAAGGGAAGAACTTTTAAGGTTCGCTGAGTTGAATCTGGATTACAGTTATAGCACAAGTTTTATGTGGCTTATAGCATCTTCAGCAAACTTAACCGATCTTTGAATTGAAGGGTTAGTTAGGAGGCTTCCCAAGTGGCACAGTGTTAAAGACTCCTCCTGCCAACACAGGAGACGCTGGTTTGATTCCTGGGTTGGGAAGATTCCCTGGAGTAGGAAATGGCAACCCACTCCAGTATTCTTGCCTGGAGAATCCCATGGACAGAGGAGCCTGGAGGGCTACAGTTCCTGGGATCTCAAAGAGTCATACCAGACGGAAGCCACTGAGCACACGTTTCAAACATGCATAAGAGAATGTTGTATAGCTGAGCACCCGGGAGAAAAAGTAAAAAGTTTGGTGAACAGTTAGCTAGCCTCTGGCACAGTGGGTAATTTTCCCAACATTAGAATAAGAGTTTAGAATCTGGATAGCCGAAACGATTGATGAAGGTTCATGGCACATGCTGTTTCCATTGGATGGTACTATAGTGGTGTAAATTCAAATTAAGAATACAAATAAAGAAGCCACGTTTTTCTGTTCTACTCCTTTGGCCTATGCATCCCAGAATAGAAATACATTTTTTTGTTGTTCATGTAAAGAAACATGATTGTACTGCTGCTCTTGGTTTGTGAGTATTCCTTGCATCTGCCCAACCAGAGAGCTTTTAAGAAACCATTCAAGAATTGGTGGATTAATCAGCTTTAAGCCTAAAGTCAAGGAAACAGACAATGCACTTTAGAAGGCCCTCAGTGTGAGGGACACCAAATTCAAGGCTTTTCAAAAGAAATGGAACCTGTTGTGTTTAACCATCATCCGAGTAGGCGGACACAGAAAAATGGGGAAGTGAGAGTTGATTATCTGTTCAATCCATTTCTGTTCTCTGTTAGTCATTCAAGTGACCTAGCTTGATGGTTTGGCTTATTTCTATAAAAGAGGAGAAACATGAATGAGGAGAACAGAGCTGCCAACAAAAGGAGTCAGACAACTTGAAAATCCTGTAATTATAAATGAAGAAGAACCAAGAATAGGAGCAAAAAAAAAAAGGGCATTGGAGAGAGACTTGTATGAGATACAAAGCACTCTTGCCTGTGAAGGTGACAGCTACGTCAAGATTGGCCTTAATCCCAATACTTCCTCCCATCTAACTGATGAGGAAATCCAGATCCCTCAAAATGAATTATTTCCCAACACTCACAGCTACTTAGGGATTGTTTGTTGTTTAGTTGCTCAGTCATGTCCAACTCTTTGCAACTCCATGGACTGCAGCACGCCAGGCTTCCCTGTCCTTCACTATCTTTCTGACTTTGTTCAAACTCATATCCATTGAGTCAATGATGTCAGTCAACCATCTCATCCACTGTGGCCCACTTCTCCTCTTGCACACAGTCTTGCCCAGCATCAAGGTCTTTTCCAAAGAATTGGCTCTTCACATCAGGTGGCCAAAGTATTAAAGCTTTAGCTTCAGCATCAGTGGACTTCCAGTGAATATTCAGTGTTGATTTCCTTTAGGATTGATGGGTTTGATCTTCTTGCAGTCCAAGGGACTCTCAAGAGTCTTCTCCAACACCACAGTTTGAAAGCATCAGTTCTTCGGTGCACAGCCTTCTTTATGGTCCGACTCTCACATCTATACATGACTGCTGGAAAAACCATAGCCTTGACTATTCAGACCTTTGTTAGCAAAGTGATGTATTTGCTTTTTCAATGTGCTGTCTATCTTTGTCATAACCTTTCTTCCAAGGAGCAAGTGTCTTTTAATTTTGTGACTGCAGTCACTGTCTGCAGTGATTCTGGAGCCCAAAAAATAATGTCTGTCACTGTTTTCTCTTTTTCACCATCTATTTGCCATGAAGTGTTGGGACTTTATGCCATGATCTTAGTTTTTTGAAAATGTTGAGTTTTAAGCCAGGTTTTTCATTCTTCTCTTTCACCTTCATCAAGAGACTCTTTAGTTCCTCTTTGCCTTCTGCCATTAAAGTGGTATTATCTGCTTATCTGAGGTTGTAGATATTTCTCCTAGCAATCTTGATTCCAGCTTAGAGCTGGGCAGACCCACAGGGTTCTTAACCAGAACTTCTCATTCTACCTGACCATTTCCTCTTTTCATTCCTCCTTTTGGTTGGAAATTTGTACCATAGTGTTCATTGGTTTATTAAACACTGAATAACTGGGATATAATGCCCTCAATCACTTGTATAGCTCCATGTAATTTTCCCAGTTGCATAGAAAACTCCACTTTAGGTCAGGATGTTCAATGGGGGCACACATATGACTTGGCTTCTCAGAGTCTCAATTTCTTCATCAAAAGCTTGGTGTGATTATAAGTTCTTTCCAGCTCTGAAACATAGGCAGAGCACTCTCCAACATAGATCACAGAAGA